AGACTGGGTCATTTACATAGAAAAGACGTTTATTTTGGCTCACGGTTTTCAGGCTGTACAAGAAATGTGGTGCCGGCATCTGCTTCTGGTGAGGCCTCCGGAAGTTTCCAACCACAGCAGAAGGCCATGGCGGATCGTCTATGTCACAGGGTGAGAGTGGGAACGACAGAGAGAAGCGGGAGTCCCAGGTTCCTCAACCAGCTCTCCTGTGAACTCACCACCACTCAGTACTGTGCCCAGGGGCCCAAACAGTTCCTGAGGGCTTCGCATCCATGATCTCAATCCCTCCCACGAGGCCCACCTCTGACACTGGAGATCACTTTTCAGTATGAGCTTGGAGAGAACGCACATCCAAACACATCACCTTCTCACCGCTGACCAAGGCTGGCCCCTATGGCCTCCCGTTCTGCTGGGGCTCCCAGCAGATTTGCATTCACAAGGATCCAGCTTTTCCAGCCACAGCAAAGAGAACCAGGCAGAAGTGATTGTTTCTGAAAGGAGCATAAGGCCCTGTGTTCCACTCTGCGAGTAAGAGAAGATGTGGAAGGGAAAAGGGCCTGCCGGGAACCTGGGGTCAGCTGAGCCCCAAAGGCCAGCCTTCCCCTCTGCCTCATACTTCGCTTCTCCTTTCCAGGCCACATTCTTTATGCCACAGACACTCTGGAATGAGAGGAAACGTCAATGACATGTAGAAGCACATCTTTCCTCATAGACGCATGCTGGTGACGGCGCGCAGCCGCACTGTGCCCAGCACACCTGGCCTTGTCCTTTGCTCCAGAGAGCACCCTTCCCCGCCGACACCACCAAGAGCAAAGTGGGAGCCAGGCCCTGGACTTGGGAAGGACGTGGGGGGAGGCCCAGGGCTGGGACAGCCTCTGCAGGATGCTCAGGACAGGGGCACACAGACATGCATGTAAGTTAAGGTTAACCTTTAAGGTTAACTGGCAATTCTAAAACATGTGTGGGCTTTTTAAAAAGGTAGGGGAATTGAGAGAGGAAAAGAGACATTAAAAATAAGATATTTGAAGAAAGTTGTTTTATTTAAATGAATCAATTCCAAATTAGCACATTATACTTCAATGGATAAGACACTTTTATAAAAAGCTTTAATTTTAATGGTCAAAGCATAAAATATTTCACATGACGAAAAAGTAGAGTCATATAATCCCATGTAATCAGTATTCCAAGGTAAGAGTTGTTAACATTTTGCTACAGTTAATTCAGATCTTTTTTTTCAGCAATAAAACATGACTAACAGAGCCTGAGTCCTCCTCCCATGCCCACTCTCCCTCTTTACAGAGACCGGAGACGCGGGATACTTCTGGGCCGTGGCGACGCTGCAGCTCCCACACCCTCACGCCTGTGGACACCACAAAATATCGGTTTGTTTTTAAATTCCATTGTAAGCATCAGCCTTTTGTATCCCCGCCCCCAAGGTTACACTTTCAGGAGGCACTCAAGTTGATACAAGTAGAATGACTTCATCCCCTTTCGCCCTGAGGGACATTCTGTTCCGTGAAATATGCTCCGAATTCTTTATCCAGGCCTGGAGTGGTGGCCATGGAGGAGTTTTCCAGTTTTGCTCTCCTGCGAACAGTGCTCCAGGGCGGCCTCGTCCCCACCTCCCCAGCACCTCTGTGCTCTTTGAGATGTGGCCAAAAAGTCTCGCGAATTTCTCTACAGAAATTCCGGCTGCACGGCAGGGAGAGAGTTCTACTGTGCACACTCTAGGCCTTGCCTGGTGTCATCAATGGATGAGAAGTGGCATCTCCTGTTGTCTAGAGATAGACAACCAGTGAACGTGCGCATTCTCAGCCATCTCCTCTGCCTCTGCGTGGGGGGGCTGCCCCTCTCCCTGCCTCTTTATTCCACCGATTGCTTCGTTTTCACCCACTGGCAGCCAGAATGCCTCCTGGCGCTGTAGAGCAGGCTCAGTTATTCACATCTGCAGCAAGTAGCTCCTCCCCCGTTGGGGTCATCGGTTTCTGTTCTGTCCAGCAGAAGTTTTTACTTTTAACACACTCAAATGTATTCATTTTTAAAATGTCTGCATTCCCAGCCGTATTTGGAAAAACAAAAATAGAAGCAAAGAAAGCAAACCCCAACCCTCTCCTCCCCCTGCCTATGAAGCCCAGGGGTGCAGAATCCTGTCCTAGAGTGTGGGAAGGAGGAGCTGGGAGCCTGCGGGACCGTGTGCTGCGGAGCCCCTGGTTAGGGCTACTGGTTTCGGGCACACACGCCGAATTGAGAGTTTGCAAAGGGTATTCAGCACGGCCTCAAGACAAACGCTCTTTAGAGCCTCGCCGGTTTGATTAAAATAATTGTAAAAGCACTCGAGGAAATACTTCCTTTTCTCCAGTGGTTTCTTGCGAGCGAGGAGTCCCATCTGCTCACGCCGGGATGGAGTGAACCCCCGCGCTCTCCGCAGCCTCCTGGGCGCCCGCACACCGCGCGCCCAGCCGAGGCCAGCACCGAGGTGCGCTCTGGTGTTTAAAAAGCAGATTGCAAAGCCACGGAGAAGCCGTTGGAAAGACGGAGGGTTGAGGGAGCTACGTCCTGCTGAAGACTGTCTTGTAAAACACTTTTAAAAGACAAAACAAAAACAAAACAAAACCCTGACAACTCCGCTTGACCAGAACCGCTGCAGCGAGACGCGCAGACCTCTCTGGCCAGCGCGAGCGCGCGCGTGCCTGCGTTTCTTGCGGACCCGGGCCCGCCGTGAGCGTGTGTGCAAAGGTGGAACAGCGGCGGAGTTTCAGACCCTTTATCTTGGAACCGTCTCCTGCCGAGGAACTGAGGCGGCCAGGTCGTTGCTGATTCTGAAGCGGGTCTCCTTCCACTGCGATCCCTTCAAGGGTCTCAAGAGTGTCCATTGCCAAGGAAGGCGGTTTCCTGGCTCTCCAGGCGCTGTAGGGCCCGGAGCCGCGCTCCCTCCCGGGCCGGAGCCGCAGCTGGCGGGACGCGCCGTTTCCGGGGATCGCGGAGTGAGAGCAGCCCACGGGCGGCCCAGCGTGGCGGGGCCTCGGCCTGGAGCCGCGGCGGACGCCTGGCCACGAGGGGCCGCCGACCCAGGCGACGAGAGGGACGAGCAGGAGGGGGCGGGGCGGCTGGGAAGGAGGAGGAGAGACAGAGGGCGAAGCCAGCGCGAGGACAGAGAGAAGCGGAGGAGGCTAGAGACGGAGTCGGCGACAGGCTGGAGAATTCTGGACTGTCGGGACCCCAGCGCGCGAGAGAAGCTTCGGGAAGCACGTCGGAGGCGGGGCATCTGTGGGAGGAGGGCAAGTTTTCCGGAGCAGCGAAGGAAGCCAGGAGGGACGAGTTAGCCGTGGCGAGAGCTCGCAGACACCGGGAGCCAAAAACTGGGCAGCTAAGTAAGCAAGAGCCGGTTAGGTGAAAACGAGATCCTAGAATGAGAAAAAGAAAAAAGGAAGGAAGGAAGAAAAGAAGGAAGGAAGGAAGGGAAAGGAAAGAAAGCAAAAGAAAAGGACACGCTCGCGTGGGGTCCCGGATTCAGGCGCTCGGAGCACCCCGAGCGGGGCCCTCCCAGCCATCCCAGCCCTCAGTGGCCTCCGCCCCGAGTCCCTGAAGTGCGGCCCGCGTGGCTACCCGGGGATCTCCCAGGCCTCGCGGGCCCATTTGAAAACCTCCAGAGGCCTCGCACATTCTTCCAGGACCGGGGCTGCGGGGACCCCTCAGTCTACCACGGAGGCTCCTCTGCGAGTGTCTTCCAGGAGAACATTTAGGCGTCAGGAGCGTCTTTGAAAGCCTAGAAATGCCGGTTGCGCGTGAAATCCAGTCCCACCTATTCACAGAATGCTAGACGCGTAAACGACCTTTGAAGGACATGCGCGTTCCATGTCAACTTAAATTTTGTTCAATTTATAGCAACGTATTTGTTTTCAAAGAAAAGAAAAAATGCTTAGCCAAGCTTCTCGAGTCTGCGGTCCGCTGTACCTGCCTCGCTCTGTCTCTCCACAAACACTGGGGGATCCCTGGAGCGGGAGGGCCGGAGACCGTAAATACGGTAGCCATGAGATTCGATACAGTGAAACTACTTGTATTTCAAGTGTTACTTCATTCAAGGAAACCCACATAAAATGTGTCTATTTAATGTTAATTTATAAAAAAGTTGGACACATCCCGGAATGGTAACTGTTTTTCCCCCCAAACACCAGAGCTCATAAGGAACCACAATGAGAAAGGATCCGGAGCCGGTTAGGTTTTATTGAAATGCCTGGACGCGTTTTTTTTTTTTTTTTTTTTTCTAGTTTCCCTAATTAAGCCGCCGTGGGAGGAGGTGGGTCGCGCCCATCGTTGGTGGGACTCCGGCCGACAGGCACGGGCCACAGCGCCCCCTCGCCGCCCGCGCGCACGTCTCCGGGCCTGCGCCGCCTCCTTCGGTCCCCGCGACACCGAGGACGTCCCCGCTCCTGGCGAGCGCCGCGGCCTTCTCAGCCGGCCGCGTGCCGGGGGAGACACCCGAGCCTCTGGGCCAGCACTTCTTCGCGATCGGCCTCGCAGGAAATCCACGCTCGTGGAGACCTGCATGTCCACGTGGACTTGCTCTAAATTCTTTGGCTGCTGCAGGGAAAAGAAAGAAAAATAGAGCAGTGTTAACTTTTCCCCGCCCTCTAGAGCACACCTGGGGAACGGGGCAGGATCCACCAGGAACCTGAAACTACCACGGCCTGGGTCACTGAGGCCAGGAGTCGCGTTTTCAAAGCAGTTACTCGGTTTCCCCTGCGTGCCTGCTCATTCCCTCTCCAAAGCTGCAGGAACCAAGTGCCAGACCCTCTCCAGCGACCCCACAGGCCTGATCACCCGACTTGCCCTTGAGCAAAACAGCCCGGGCCCTCCTCTCTGGGAGCCGCGGCCTTGCGGCCCGCGTGGCCAGGAGACCCAGTCCGGGCTGAGCCAGCCACCCTCGCAGGCGGCCTCGCAGGGACCGCCGCGCCAGGACTCCAGGCTGGCAGCATGTTTTCTCCTGATTGATTTTTTTTAGAACGACCAAGCCAACTTTAACTTAAAAAAAGGAAAAATGGTGTTTTTTTTTTTTTTCTTTAAAATCAGGGAGCTTTAAAGCAAAACGGAGTTTATATATTCCAATAACAATGACGAGTGTAAGTTTTTAATGTCTCTGCGTAGGCATTTTAATTTGCTACAGTCACTACCAATAAAAACGGCCTGTAGTAAGAGTCGACTGTTTAATAGTGCAAGGTAGACGGTTTTTATTAGTAACAGGCAGCAGCGGTATGGAAAATTTAGATTTTAGTGGAGGAGTATAATTGCTGGGGGGAAAATACACATGGACGGGAAGAGGCCATCTTCAAACTCCCAGCACTGAGCTAAGGAGCGGGGAAGGGCAGGCTGCGTTTCTGGAGATGCACCCTGGGTGAGGCGATGCCCTCCCCGCCACTGCACGTGTCTGATTACATATTTAATTGATGTCAGAATCGACTGTATCCAGAGCAGACACTCCACCTCCAAACCGAGGATGTTTTTGTAATAACTGGCTGTTTTCTCTTCTGCCCCTGGCAGAGGTCAGGCCCAGGGGGGTCAAGGGAGGGGAGGGAAGATGAGCCCCAAATGCTAATGAAACCACAGCGGGAACGCTCTTTAGAAATGGAAATACTCTAGGCCTGTTCTCCCTGGTGATAAAAATTACACCCGATTTTTTTTTTTTTTTTCACTTAAACTGATCTGATCGGAAGGGAACCCTAACGGCTGCCATCTGATCAGTCAGTGTTCGTGTTTTCTATCCAGCATGTGGCCTCTCATTTACCCCTCTTCCTGGAGGAATTCCCTCCCAGGAAGCGCAAAAACTGCCGCAGATTGTCGCAGGCTTGCCCAACTCGGCTGCTTTTTCTCCGTTTTTCAACTCTATTGTAATTAATTAAAAATCTCTGCCCTGAACTGAATTAGGATGTCCCACGTGCAACCGCAGCAAGGTTGAAATCCCCTGCTGGGTCGTTATAGGAGCCCTGGCCTGTGTGAAGCGGGGTGTCTGTGGGTGGGGGAGTGGTGGTCGAGTGCGTGTGTGTGTGTGTGTGTGTGTGTTGAGATGCCATGGGGAGGATGCCTGGAGGATGGGGGTGTGGTTTGTAGGAAGAGTGGTGGGGGAGCAGTGTGGACGGAGGGGTGGGTCGGATAACTGGTAGGGGGCGAGTGGCTCGGCAGCTCCTGGCCGGAAGGGTAATGTGCCTGGACCGAGCCCCGGGGGAGCGTCCTCGTGCTTGCCTGCCAGCTCAGGAGGAGCCCTCCTCAAGTCCAGCACTGCTATTTGCAACTGCTTCCCTTGCAGCTGGGGAAAGACAGCCTGATGCCCTGTTTCTCTTGCGCCCGGGACCAGGTTGGCAACCCGAGCTCCGCTTCCCCCGCGCCGCTGCAGCTGCACCACGGGAAGGCCGAACCAAGCGCCGCGTCCTGAGATCGCCGGGACCGCTCGGCAGGTGGCGGGGCCAGCGGGGGTGCCGGAGTCGACTGCAGGCCCTCGCTGAGGCCCGCCCCAGGCCAAGGCGCTCTCTCGCCTCCACCGCACCCACCCCTTCCGAGGGTAGAGGCACCTGTTGGGTGGATGCTCCCAACGGGCCAGCAGACATCTGACACTTTCACATCCCCCTGAGCGCCCCCAACAGGTGACCATTCGGACTGGGCAGCCAGACACCCTCTGCGGCCATCCCCGAGTGGAAAAGGGGTGGGGAAGCGTGATGGGGAGCGGGCTCTAGAGAGTTGGGGTCCTAGGGACCCTCGCCAACCGCCTGGTCTCTGAGCCCCACTAGGCACCCGCCCCAACCCCCGCCGCACCTGAGCTACCTGTGATGCCCACTGCACCGGCGGCGCCAGCCTCTGCTCCTATCCGTTCCCGAGGTGGCGGGGAGGCTTCAGGTCCCGCCATAGGCGGTTTGTCCAGTAACAATCATCCCCCCAGTGTTCTGACAACACAAATCAGAAAGATGAGTCAACTTAGAAAAACGAAATAAAACAAAATTCTTTAGGGTACAGCGTCTTCTTAGGCGAAGCCCTGGCGGCGTTCCCAACAGTGGAAAGTCGTAACGTTCAGGGCCCCGAGATTTGCACTGCAATTTAGGGGCAGAAAGCTCACCTTACGGCCCTCCTGGCAGATCGCCACTAAGGCGCCCCGGATCCGGGTCCATGCTGGGCGGAGCTGGCTGCAAGGGGCCGGCGACCAGACGCGAGGCCACGCGGGGAGCCTCGGGCCGGGAGTCAGAGCAGGTCCAGGACGGTGGAAGAGAAAGCCGCGCGCACACCGCCCCAAGGAGGACCCCCAGCCGCGGGCGCCACCGTCCTGACCTCCCCACTTCCCTACGACTTCCGGATTGGACTTAGCGGTCCGACCTCCTCCAGCTGCACAGCAGGGAGGCCGTGAATCCCCCCTGTGGACCCGGCCTGGCCCCACCGCGGGCGGCCTCTGTCCGGTCCGAGCGGGTCGACAGGGGGTGGGGGGCGGGGTAGTGGCTGGAAGGGGCGGGGGCCGGGAGGCGGTGGAGACCGTGGCCTGGGACCGTGGGAGCCGGCCGGAGAGGGGTAGGGGACGTGGCTCCCAGGGCGTGGGAGTGGGTGGGGTGGGCACCGGGGGACGCAGAGCGGCAGGGCTGGGCTGCAGGGCTGCGGGCCGCGAGCTGGGGCCGGAGCTGCCAGAGAGGCGGCTGCGCCACAAAAGCCTGCCGGTCCCTCCCGCAGCCCGCCTCCGTCTCCTCCGCCCTCCCCCGCCTCCCTCCCCGCTCTCTGCCCCTCCCCCGGCCGCGGCCCGAAGGCTGGAGCGGGCGGAGCAGGGGAGGGGCGGGCCCCCGAATATGCAGATGAGCGCATGACGGACAGCTCCGCGTTCCAATGTCCCTCGGAAACTCGAGCGCTCCTTCCTCAACTCCTCACTCCCGAGTCCAGACTCCCCCAAACCCCGACCGCCGGCCTGGCGCGCGGCTGCGCCCACCGGCTCCGCGCTGCCGCTGCCGCCGCCGCCGCCGCCGCTGCCCCGCCGCCACCCCGGCCCGCGGGCCGCCCAGGCTAGTGCCCGGGCCGGCCTGCATCGGCCCGCCGTCCGGGTGCCCGCCGCCGCGCCGCGCCCCAGCCGGGCGTGGATGGAGGGCGCCGCGCGCCCTGCCCGCTGCTTGGCGTGACGCGGGCCCGGCGCCCCGCGCCCACCATGTCCTACCCGCAGGGCTACCTGTACCAGGCGCCCGGCTCGCTGGCGCTGTACTCGTGCCCGGCCTACGGCGCATCGGCTCTTGCGGCGCCGCGCAGCGAGGAGCTGGCGCGCTCGGCGTCGGGCTCCGCGTTCAGCCCCTACCCGGGTTCGGCGGCCTTCACCGCGCAGGCGGCCACCGGCTTCGGCACCCCCCTGCAGTACTCGGCCGACGCTGCCGCCGCCGCCGCGGGCTTCCCGTCCTACATGGTAACAGGGCGCGGGAGGGACGGGGGACTCCGGAGCGCGCGGACCCGGACCCGGGGCGCGGGCGGAGCGGGACCGGGGTTCGGCGGGCGGAGGCCGCGGGGAATGTGGAGTGGGCCGCGGCTCCAGAGTCGACCGCTCGGTCTGCCGCCCCACAGGCTGAACCGGGCCCCGGGTGGTGGAGGGCGCGGCCGGCGGGGATGTCCCCGAGCCCGGCCGGGACCCGCGCCCCGGCCGCTAGTCCCCTCGGCTCCCCAGCTCATTTTCTCCGAGATCCTGGGAAGTGCGTCTCCGCCGGGGCCCGGGGTCCGGCGCGGTTTGTCCCTGGTTCGCACGCCGCAGCCCGGGGAGGCGTTGGGAGCGGGCGGTGTGCTCCCCGGATTGGTGTGGGGCTCAAGGGTCCGCGCCACTGCGGCCTCTGGGCCGACGGCCGGGCAGTTAGCGTTCACTCGCGAGGCTCGGGGCGGCAGGGGTCAGAGCTGGGCCAGGGAGCCAAGTCTCCAGCTGCGGCTCGCGAGTCCGGTCCGAGGCGCCCGGGTTTCGGCCTTAATCTGTCCGGCCGACCACGCTTTCAAAAATCGAGCATGCGCCCTGCCGCCGTCCCGGCCGCCGGAGTTCTCCGTGCACTGAGCGCAGCTCCTGCTCCGGCGACCCGGGGGCGGCCCGCAAGCCTCTGGGTTCCCGAGTTGGGCCGGGCCCTGGCCGCGGCGAAGCACGTCGCGGGCTGTTGAGGCCATTACGGCGTTGTGGCCACTGCCGGTCCTAGGCGGAATTCCTGGGCAGCGACCGAGAGGCTGGGGCCTTGGAGAAGGCTGCAACTGTCTCGAATTTAAACGTTAAAGGATGAATTAAAATGCTAATTACGGCGTATTTGAAGAATTCGAAACGGTGACTGGCTTCTGAGTTGCAAATTGGATTTGCCCAGCTTTAGAGCAGTGAATAGTGAAGTGGGGGCTCCGGGGTGCTTTTTTAACCATGTAAGGGCGGGGAAGAGTGAGTCGGGGGAGGCAGCGGCACTCCAAGCCTCAGCAGAAATTTAGATATCAAGGAGCTACCTGTGGGCCTGTGTGCGCGCACGTGCGAGGGTTTGTGTACATCGCCACGCGCGGCTCTGGAACGCGTAAGGGAAGGTGGGTCATTTTAGGAAAGTGACAGAGTTCAAAAATTCGAGAATAAAACTGCGGCGCTTTCTGTGGTGAACTATTCCCGAATCACACGGCGCTTTTCCTACTGTTTGACCGAGGGAAGCAGCCCCAGAGCCAGAAACTCGCGGGAGAATGGCAGCCGTTGGGCGGTTGGAGAGGTGGCATCCTGCGGCTGGTTGCCCGCGGAGTATCCGCACACCCCATTCACAGGCTGTTGTTGGTTCCAGGGCGCGCCCTACGACGCGCACACCACCGGCATGACTGGCGCCATCAGCTACCACCCGTACGGCAGCGCGGCCTACCCGTACCAGCTCAACGACCCCGCGTACCGCAAGAACGCCACGCGGGACGCCACGGCCACGCTCAAGGCCTGGCTCAACGAGCACCGCAAGAACCCCTACCCCACCAAGGGCGAGAAGATCATGCTGGCCATCATCACCAAGATGACCCTCACGCAGGTCTCCACCTGGTTCGCCAACGCGCGCCGGCGCCTCAAGAAGGAGAACAAGATGACCTGGGCCCCGAGGAACAAAAGCGAGGATGAGGACGAGGACGAGGGCGACGCGGCCAGAAGCAAGGACGAGAGTCCCGACAAGGCGCAGGAGGGCACCGAGACCTCGGCGGAGGACGAAGGTGAGCAAAGTCTAGGGGCGCTTTCTTTCCAGGCGGGGCGCAGAGCTGAGGTCAGGAGGACTCTGCCCGCCAGGTGCCCCAGGCCCGGCCCAGAGCCCCGGCCGCCCCACGTTGCTCCGGGGTCAGCGGGATCGGAGCGAGCGATTCCTTGGGCCCATCTTCCTGCGGAGGTCAGGCTCCCCGTCTCCCGTGGCCGGGCTGGGGCGAGGTGAGGGGTGGCGTGGGGAGGGCCCAGTGCCGCAGGACGTGGCGGGGTGGTGGTCCAGGGCCTGCGCCGTCCCCGCGTGCCCCAGACCGTGCCCGCGCCCCCGCAGGGATCAGCCTGCACGTCGACTCGCTCACGGATCACTCGTGCTCCGCCGAGTCGGACGGGGAGAAGCTTCCGTGCCGCGCCGGGGACCCCCTGTGCGAATCGGGCTCGGAGTGCAAGGACAAGTACGACGACCTGGAGGACGACGAGGACGACGAGGAGGAGGGCGAGCGGGGCCTGGCGCCGCCCAAGCCCGTGACCTCGTCGCCGCTGACCGGCTTGGAGGCGCCGCTGCTGAGCCCCCCGCCGGAGGCCGCACCCCGCGGTGGCGGCAAGACGCCCCTGGGCAGCCGGACGTCTCCGGGCGCGCCGCCCCCCGCCAGCAAGCCCAAGCTCTGGTCGCTGGCCGAGATCGCCACGTCGGACCTCAAGCAGCCGAGCCTGGGCCCGGGCTGCGCGCCGCCGGGGCTGCCCGCGGCCGCCGCGCCGGCCTCGTCCGGGGCGCCGCCGGGAGGCTCGCCCTACCCCGCCTCGCCGCTGCTGGGCCGCCCGCTCTACTACACGTCGCCCTTCTACGGCAACTACACAAACTACGGGAACTTGAACGCGGCGCTGCAGGGCCAGGGTCTCCTGCGCTACAGCTCCGCGGCCGCGGCCCCCGGCGAGGCGCTGCACGGCGCGCCCAAGGCGGCCAGCGACGCGGGCAAGGCGGGCGCGCACCCGCTCGAGTCCCACTACCGGCCCCCGGGCGGCGGCTACGAGCCCAAGAAAGGTAGGCAGCCCGCGGCGGGGGGCGCCCGGGGAGGGAGGGAGAGCCGGCCCCAGCCCGGGGGAGGCGGGGCGCCCGGGAGACCCGGGGGAGGGTTCGGGAAGAACACCCAGGGGGCCGCCCCGGGACCCAGAATTAGCTGAGTGAGGGCAGAGGGCGAGAAGGAATCCAGGGAAGGCGGGGGCCTCCTTTGAGACGTGCCCTGCTCTTATTTGTTTTTACTTCATTTACTGTTATTTTAACTATTATTATCGTAGCTGTCTTAGTTTCCGCGAAATGCAAATGACAGCGTGTCGCCCTAATGACTGAGTCTAAGCCGGGTGTGTCTGGGTGTCTTGTTTGTTAAGGAATCAGAGTTGAATCCGCTTTTCTGCAGTTGGCTAGAAGCAAACAGAACGTTTCAGTTACTCTTAGAGGCGTTTTGTTTTCAAAAGAGAGAATCAGAAACGTTTTTGTTCCGGAAAGAAAACCGTTTTGGGTTTTTGGTTTTTGTCTTCCCCCCGATCTATGTGGACTCTGTTGCTCCTAGGTGAGGCTACCTGAAAGAGGAGTTCAAGGGGGAAGTTAGGAGCTGGGAAACATCACCAAAAGTCCTCTCGGCGGGCGGCCCTGGAGGCAGTCGGTTTCCCAAACTGCTGTTCGCCTGGGAGTGGAGGAGGGTGGGTGCTCCGTGGTCTGTGCAGCCAGCAGGCTGTGGGGTCGGTCCTGACGAACTGCCCACTCCCCTGACAGATGCCAGCGAGGGCTGCACGGTGGTTGGCGGGGGCGTCCAGCCCTACCTATAGAAGGCCGAGCACAGCAATGCAAGTAAGTGGGCACCCTGGTGCTCTCCAGACCCTCTGGAGCCTCCCAGCACCAAGTTGCTTAATGTGTTTTTCTTGCTTCTGGTCATGGGGTTGGAAGACAGCATTTCAATCTTGTCCAGTCTTTTCTTTCCTTAAGGGGAAAACTATTTTTTCTGTTGTATAGATTCCCTTCTTTCGGCACAAGTTCTGTCACTGCTTTACCTAGGGAAGGAAAAACGTGTGTGTGTGTGTGTGTGTGTGTGTGTGTGTGTGTAATATGTATATGTATATGTATAGTACATGTATGTATATATATATTACACACTACTGTTGTTTTCTGAAAAAAATAGATTATTAAAATCTGGGCACTTGTATGCAGTTTAGAGCCATTTTTTACTATGCTAGACACATAATAGACACATACTTTGATGAGCTTGGGCTACCAAAACTTGGAGTAGCAGAAACCTTTATTGGTGATGTTTGCAAAGTAAGACTGAAGAGACACAAGGCGTCCTAGTCTTTTATCAGCCCTGCCCAGCCTCCCCTTCACCCATGCCCAACGGCCAAGGCTCTGACATTCTCCCGGGGCTCACAGCAGTATCTCAAAACACAGGTTGTTTTGCAAGGAGTCAGAATTACCAATCATAGATCCTGAAGATAAGAAAGAGGTGAAACCACTTCAGATCAACTCATTTTTATAATGGTGTTGGTGTGGAACTGAAAGATTGGGGATGATTTAGTTTTTCCCTTGGTCCACAGGTAGGTGTCACAATTGCTTTGAAAAAAAAAAAAAAAAAAAAAATCAGCAGGCCATTCTCTCTTCCCAAGCTCATAAATTTACAGATACAACAAACAGATGTCTAAATCCAGACCACATCTTGTGCCACTGTAAAAGAGAAGGATCCACACAGCACTATCAACCCACAGACTCTAACAGTCGGAACAGACTATTTTGGACATACGTGAATTTGTTGGCATAGTATAGCTTCCCTGATGTATGTGTGACTTTTGAAAACAATCTGTTTTTCTCAGGATATCTTGAATTGATCACTTCATTGCCACGGTATATATTCTATAGGTGTGATAGGATTTACTGTAAAGTTTATTTGTAAAAGATGTACACAGTAGAAATAAAACGTGATTGAAGAACTTGAGTACTTCAGAAGTGGAAACAAATTTGATATTTATTTTTATAATGATATAAAGCTTCTAGTAATTTATGCAAGTTGTATTGCAATGGAATCTAAACTTTTTGTAAATAAATTCTGCCTGGTTTTTATTTGAACATTGCTGGTTATACAATCTTTGTTGGTTGTTTAACACGAATTCTTTACTAATTTATATCTTAAATTGTAAATAAAAACAGACTAGTCTACAATAATATGGTGTTTGGGGCTGATTTTTCTTAGAAGAATGATTTGGGGTGGAGCCCTAGTGATAATCTCCAGGTGATCTGACCTCATGTTTTTAATGAAAAGCTGTGTGAAATAACTCTCCTTTCTCTCCTGATCATTGGAAAAAAAAAAAAAAAAAAAATGGCAGATGGAAGAGAAGTACTCAATCGGGAGAAGTGTGGCGCTAGATGATTTTTGTCAATGTATTGCAAAAAGATAAGATTCTTGTGCCCTGAGTATGCTGATTACTTGTTAGTGTAAATTTTTAAAACTTGGCAAAATAAAATGATCTGACATTCTATGCATTTTATATTCATTTCTGATGCTGGCTTCTTGAACCTCCTCATAAACCAAACTGGAGAATAATATTGATAATGGAGAGTCATACCTCCCACCAATAAATTACCGATAGAAATAATTGTTGTTTGAAAGCCCGAGTTATCCAAATTAGCCTAATTATTCAGATTTATGGAAGGATTTCTTAACTCTCCTATTCCTATAATGCACATTAAACCCAGAGTGAAGATCTGGGGGAGGGACTTACCTTTCCTTTCAGTGGCTTTTACTCTTACCCTGAGGGAAAAGAAACATTTAAACAGCCTTAGACTACTGCCTCTTTATGGTGTTACTCACTTTCTAATTATAGGACAAGTCTAAAATTTGTAGTCAAGTAACAGATCCCCTTTGATTGGTATCATAAAAGTAGCAAGCCTGTCACTTTAATTTTCAGCAAAATTATATGGATATCCATATAATATAATTTCAGAAAAGGAATGAACAATCATTTATTTCCTCTCGAAAGATAAATTGAGTGAATATAACTTAGGGTTATAAAACAAGAATAATAGCTTCTTAGATTGCCCTTTAATCAATCATACACTTATTTTTCAAGAGGTTCATCTATTTTATTCCGTGATTAATAATGTTGCAGCATGAGAGCATTATTGGATCCCAGCGGGGGAGGTCTGGGATGCTTTTAGCTGCTTTGGAATGGTCAGTTGGGGTTCATTATGGGCTGATATTGAACAATTTATAAAATCTTGTCTAAACATCTGCCAGCTCCTATAGGCCAATGTGTCTGAGGATGGGAAATTGCTGGACCAGTTGATATTGACAAACGGATCTCTCTCTAGTGGCTTTTTGTGCCATAGAAATTAGTGGCCTCTTGCTGGGGTCTTGTTAGAAAGGGTATTTGAAAGTAATCTTAGATACTTGAGGCCAAGCCAGGGGACTGTTAACTGGACACTGAGCCATGCCGATGGGGAGGCGTGATTGTGGTTTGACTGTGGGGAAGTGGGGCAGAACCAGGCTTCTGTTTTCTGTTATTTCTTACGCATTTTGTTGGTTTTAAATACTTCAGCATTTGGAGGTCAGACATAGAGTAAATCTCTGGGGTGGACAACTATTTTTCTGTCTTCTCCGCCTCTCCTAGTAATACATATGAACATGTTTGGAGCTGAGCTATCTATTGGCAGGAGGGAAGATTTTTCACATGGGAACGTTTGCCACTCTGTGGCAGTGTATCTGGAAACAAACAAATCTGAGGTCTGGGGAGGTAAAGGGGGTTTCAGTAGATTTGCTTTTTTTGGTTTTAGAAATAAATTCTTCATAGACTTACTATAGAGATCTCGATTTTCCCCTTCAGGAAGCACTTTCGATTGCAGTCTGAAGGTCTTACGTCGTTTACTTTTATTAATATTAGCCATGTCTCCTAGATCAGCAGAAAATAAATTGCACATGGCAGCAATGTCTCTGGTATACGTAATGTTATAACGAGAGTAATTTGAAGACTTCAGTGGAAAGTATGAAAGTTAACAATATTTAACAAAGTAAACACTAAAGATCATCCACCTTAATGAAGATACAACATTTAAGACAATACATTTCTTAAGTGTGGGACTAGAAAATCCCAGCAAAAACTGACCTTTGTGCTTATGCTCAGAAACAAGCGTGAGTAAAAGCTGCCTCCCTCTGGACCAGGGAATATTGTTTTACCTTAACATGCGATCCCTGTTCCCTTTGAACACACACACACACACACACACACACACACACACACGAGACTCCATTCTCTGGGAGGACATGCACATTTCAATTGGTGAAAACTGGAAGCAGCTCAGGAGATTAGCCAAGGCTGAGGAAGCTTCTTTGATGTTTATATGCCCAACAAATTATTCAAGATTTCCATAACTTACCCACTCTGTCTCCTGACCTGAATTTCCTTCTAGAGAACTTGATTTCTAAAATATGCACTAAGAACATAAAACCTGCAGGTGTTTAGAGGGATCTTTTTAGAGAAATCTGGAGTGATTTATGAGCTCCTCTCCATGCTGGTCATTGGGAAAGATGAATGAGGAAGGAAAGAGAGACAGGGGTATCTTTCACTGGAGAGGGAAGCTAATTGGGGGTCTGAATTTTATTTTTCCTGTAAAAATTTCGTAGTCAAAAATTACCTAGCCCTCCAAGATACACGTTTGCAGTTGCTGACTGAGGCCGGGGAGATGTAGGCAAAACGGAGCAACCGGGAGCAGATGGGCTTTGGGGCGGTAGCCGTAACTTTGCTGCGGGTGCAGGCCTGGGCGCGCTCCCGTCCCCGCGGCGCTGTGCCCGCGCGGTGCATCCGCGACAGCCCCTCTGCTCTCCGCGGCCCCGGGTTTCCTTAGAGCTCATTTATCGGAATTCGCGCTTTAATCTCAGGTGGGCCCCGGGGGCCGGGCGCTTGCGGAGAGCACCGGGGCGCTTGCCCGGCGGCGGGCGCGGGCGCTGCGTTCCGCGCCCGTCAAATGTCAACATTTGTTCCCAATAAAAGAGTTATTGTTTCTGCAAAGCTGCCCAGCAACTGCCTTTGTAACTTGAAAAGAACTTCATCCACCTTTGTCTGACGCGAGGAAGGAGGGGCGGGTAGCGGAGAAAGAGGAAGGGGGCTGGGTGCCAGGGGCCTGGAGGGGCTGTCCCGGGCCTCGGCTCCTGGCAGCATTGAGTCCTGGGTGCGCCTCCCCAGGACCCCCTCACCGGGCAGCAGCGAAGCTCATTCTGGTGGTGGGAGAGTGGCGGGGGAGGGCGCGTGGTTCCCCTGAATCTGTCTTTAACGCTTGTGTTTATTAGATATCTGCAGACTCTGGGAGGCGCGAACCATTGCGAAGAAACACGGAGATGAAATAGCCACCTCCGAAGCCCGTCCGCGTTTTCGGGTCACTTACAATTGTATTTAAATATTTATCAAGGAGGCTAAAAGTAAAGTGGACCCTTTGTTTTTTAACTACAGTGTAAATGTACATACTGAACTACCACTGTTACAACCCAGTTAAACAGACATCTATTTCAAAAAAAAAAAAAAAAAAAAAATAGTCCAAAGCAATCTGTGATCCAATCAGAGGCATTTTCAAATTTAAATAACACTCTGAACTGAATTATGAGAAAGTTTCATCCAAGTAACAGTTTACAATGATGATGACTATATAATTTTTCTTTAGTTGCCCAGTACCTTGAGAATCCCAAGGAAGAGATATTCATTTAGACTCCGAATTAAAATATAAATAGATCTATTAAATATGTGTTTTAAACTGCTTTTACAAAAATAACAGTTAAACTATTTTTTTGAAAGGGTTAACCCAAGAGGCTATCTTGGGAGCAATACACAACCGTCTGTGATACTCGGATATAATGATTAACATCATTTGAATTGCTACAAATCGCAAGGGGGACGTGTCCCTTTGATGTATTTTCAAACCTTTATGCAAGTGACAAATCCCTACAGATATTTTAAAGGCTAATTATAAGGAGAAATAATCTATGACAATATAATTTTCCAGTTGCTGAGAATTACTTTCTATTGGCCCTAATGAAAGCACTCACTAGTCATTCCCCTTGCTTGGACTAGATGCTAGGAATCTGGTATTCAACAATATGCATTTGGCCCTCAGCCCTTGATGGGTGGAAGAGAGAACACTTGGAGACCCCGTTTTAGGAAGCAGACACCCACTTGTATGTGTCAGATTCTCCCTTCAGCTGCATACCTAGAAACGGATGTAGCCTCAACGGGCACCTCTGTCCCCTCCACCCGTGGAACAGAGAATAGGCTAGTGTTTCCTACGGTGAGGGCAGAGTGTTCTCTCTCTTTCTGAGAAAGATAAAAATTGAAGACATAATTTAGGAGGACTATATTGCTAATACAATGAAGAAAGGAAATATCTGTTGTACGAATTTGCGCAATCCCAGATAAAAGGAAAGAGGAAGAATTTTTTTTGTTTAACTCTTGCCCCATGATAATAAAGAAAAGTATTTTAAAAAGGTGTTCTAGTGTTACTTTGTTCTATATGGCGCTGACAGTAAATGAAATCTAATATTGTTAAAGAATTGACTGCGAGGTTTGGGGCTGCCTCCAATACAGACTGGATCTTCACAGAAAATACCCAGCGGGAAGAATCGAAACACATTGCTACGGAAGCGCTTGCATTTTTGTGGGAGATAATTTGACAATTTATTGCGTGTAACTCCTGATCAATTATTAATCGTTAGTGTCAACAACAGGGTTATAATTACCTTGGGTTATTTTAGGGAATATTCGTGTTTTTTTTTTTTTTTTCATTTCTGTGATCTGGTAATTACTTAATGCTCTTGAGTAATAAATTCAAAGAAGAGCTCATAAGACCCACCCCTGCCCTTCCCCTCCCTTTTGGTGACCTTCAAGGAGAAATACATTCACCCCATGATTCTCAGAAATTCTCTCCTTGACTCTATTCTAACCGTGGCTTTTTTTTTTTTTTTTTTTTTCCTACTGTAAATAATGATTCCAGAGGAAAGGGGGAAAATGGCAAACAAATAGAGCACAGCTGGAATTAATAAGGCTGATCAAAGTTAGTGGGGCTGAGGCTGCTGGCAGCAGCCACAGGTCTGAGGCCCAGAAAGATGCCAGCAGTTCTCGCCTCTTCCCTCTAAGATCAAGAAAAAGGGCAAATCCAATGGTTTAACCCTTGACATCTTACTGGGGATAGGTGGGTTTGGGGGAGGCCTCCCGTTTTTAGGCCTTCCTAAGAGCTGCAACGCGGTACGGCTCGGCTCGAGCCTGGGAAGGGTGCTGCGTGTTCGCCCAGGGCGGGTCCCGTGTGCAGCCGGTTCTGCACCCCACCTCCCGCCCCAAGGAGGTGGGCGGGATGCAGGTGCTCCTGGACCCTGAAAGGTGAGGAGGTGAGTGACTAGGTTAAGGTGGGGACACGGCAGCGTCCTGGGGAATGGGGGCTGCCCGCCGGGTGCACAGTAAGCGCGGAGAGGGTCAGGCGGTCTCAGTGCGCGCAAGGAGGACCCTGCAGTGTCGCCGTGTAGCCCTCCCGAGTGCTGGCGGCCCTGGCCCGAAGGTGCTGGAGCCGGAGGCGCTGGCCCGGCTGCCTGGCTGGTGCCCCGCCCCGTTCTTCCCGGAGTTTAGGACGACTTTCCACGCGGCCCACGTCCTTCCCCGCAGGCGCGTGCTCCCGGGGGAGTCTTGCGGGGCAGAAGCTGGTTCAGGTCCTTTAACGCTCACCCAGGGTTTGTTCCGGGCCCAAGTGCTTTGCCCGAACAGCTGCAATAATTTCTTCAGGGAACTGGGTTGCTCCCAGCCCTCCAGCCGGGACTGTTCGATTTGGGGAGGGGTCCTTCAGCCAACACCGTCAGACCCATTTCTGTCCTGCCGTCTGTCCCCCAGCGCGGCTCTGCGCCGGGTGTCTGCGTAGTTGGTCACACCACACCGAGGCCCTACGAGCCTACGACGAGGATCAGGCCGGAGAACAGCCGCAGGTCAGGGAAGCTTGGAGACCGGGTGAGCCGCCTCTCGGCCTCCCGCCCCGCGCGGGACCGCCCGCCTTCGGCAGCCCCAAGGTGGTGGCCAGGAGTCCTGGGCGGAGGCGCACCGGGAAGAGGAGGCGGGGATGGCACGGGAGGCCACAGGCCGCGATCCTTTTAAAGCCACCCCACGCCATGACTGCCCCGGAGGCCCAAGGCCAGGCTGCTTGCTCAGGAGTTTTCGACTCCGCTTCTGAGACTCCGCACCCCTCGAGGGGAAACGCGGTCGGGCCCTTAGAAGCCTCCTTAGAGGTGGCTGCAGCCAGGTTTCCGGGGACGCGCGGCCGCCACCAGCCCGCAGGAACCCGCGAGCACCCGCCAGCTCCCACCCGAGGCCCGGCTCCTGGACCCCCGGCCCCACCCCAGCCCCCGCGCCCGGAGCCGCGGCAGAACCGCTCGGGGTCCTCCCTCGCTGACCCGGGCTCCCCCCACCCTCCCGCCTTCCAGTCCCCCTGCTCCATTGGCGGTCGGGCCCCCTCCGTGGCTGGCCCCGGGTGCGCGCCTCCCTCCCCAGCCCGCAGCCCGGGGCTCCGCGGACCACGCACCCGCGCGGGGTGAACAAAGCAGCGCCGCGAGCGCCGGGAAACCGAAAGCGCCTGGCCGGGGTTCGGGACGACCGCGCGGCCCGGAGGCGTCGGCGGTGGGGTTCAGGGCCCCGGGGACAAGGGGAGTCGCGGAGCGCCCGCGTTCCGGCAGCAGCCAGCCTTCCTCTCCTCCCCGTTTCCCCGTCTCTCCGATTTCGGGTCCTGCCTGCACCCCGCGTTTCTGCCGTGCTGGGCAGCGGAGCTCGACAGCAGGCCTGCCCAGCGCCTTTCCACGCTCCGGCCGCAGCGTTCGGTCCGCGCCAGCGGTGTCGCTCCGATCCAGGGTGCCCGAGGGCCCGGGCGGGCAGCGGCCACCGTCGGGACCCCAGGCCGCACCCCCGGCCCCGCCGTCGCCCCCGGGACCCGCAAGGAGAGCGACGTACGCGGCCGCCTTGCAGACGACACCTCTGGGGACGCCCCCGGGCACGCGGAGGGAGGGTCGGAGGGCTGCGGGTGGGTTGCCCTGGGGTCTGCACCCCTCCCCGCGGGCCACTGGTCTGGGAAGTTTGTCTCTTCTTCAGGGAGTTCGTGCGACAAGCCGGAGTTTACGCGCCCAACGAAGCGCAAAGAGTCCCCTGGAAGCATTTGAGGCCACCAGCCCCGCGCAGCTCCTTAAGAACCCGCTGGAGGCCTGCCTGGAGGTGGTGACGGATCCGAGGGACACAGCGAGTCAGTGGCCGGGAGGGAGGCGGCGGGGAGCACGTCTGGTTGCCTGAGTCCCGTCCCGGAATAGGCCCACTCGGCAGCCTCGGGAGTCAGAAGAGGTCTCCAGCCCCAGCCAGTACCCCGTTCCTGCCTCTCCCGGCCTCGACGGCCAGGCCCAGATTGGCTTCACCTTCCACGGCCAGGACTGGGGGCTCTGGGAGCGGGTAGTTCAGGTGGAGGGTCGCAGGAGCCTCACACCTGGACTCCCGCAGTAGGGAGAGGGCCCCGGAGGCACAGGAGGAGGCGGCCCGAGGGTGCGGCTGGGGGCCAGTGAGGGTCAGATCCGGAGGGGGCTGCGCTTTGTAACCTTTGGGGGCCAGGGCCCTGTGAGGACCCCCATCCTTTCCGCCGCTGGACTCACGGGGTCACTACACAGCCCGGGTGGAGACATGGTGGAGGCCTGCCTGGGACTAGCCCGCTTAGGCCCGGAGGCCAGGGGACAAAAACGGAGGCCTGTAGGATAACTTGACCCGAGAGGGGAACAGGGGGGCGATCAGGCTCCTTGGTACACAGCGATGACGTTAGTTTATTTAAATAGGAGGCCATGGCCCGTCCAGGTTTATTCTCCCTGGCTCTCAAGCAATGGAAAAACAGTTTGTTTTATAATGCTAATGTAGTACTCAGCTCCTCAAATAAAAGTGCCCTTCATGATAATGGGCCCAGATATAAACAGAAGGGACTGAGGGCCCAACCTGCTTCTTCCAGGAGGGCCTGCGACCTTGGGGGGGCGGGGGGGGGGGGGAGCGGAGCCCAAGCCCGGAGGAGAGAGACAGTTTGTTTAAAATTTCTATGGAGCTGGACTATTTTATAAAGGAAGGGGCTGAGTTAAGGCATGCTTTGAAAGAAGATAAATAGACTTTGCCAGGAGCTAGCCCCTCAAATGAGTTATGTTTTAAACAATTGTCTGCTGACTCTATGATCTTAGGTACAAGCCCACCCCATGCACCCCGACTCCCAGTGCAGACAAGGCCAGGAGGAGTGGGAGGAGGCCTGGGAGCAGGCATGACAAGTGGGCTGTGGGCTGCAGGGTGGTGGGGGGACAGGACGGTGGGGGAGGCGGGCAGGGGGCACTCCCAGGCCGGATGTTCCCTTAACCTGGCTGTTACTTGGAGGTCAGGAGTAGCCCCTGGAGAAAAGCATCTCTGGGTCTCTGGTGGGTGAAGATCAGTGCCGGCCCTAAATCATCTCGGTGTTCTGAAGCCCAGGGAAGCTGTTGGTCTGGCACTGGGACCACTTCCACAAGAACTCGAAACCTCAGGCAGGATGTTTGGGGGCAGGTACTGGCTACTATGGGTGGACATGAGCTGGAGGAGCATGAGTGACCTCCTGGGATGGTCCCCAGCCCTGTCTTTGAACAGCTGCCCTATGGAACAGGCTGGGGAAGTGTGTGCTCATCACCGACTCCTCTGGCCTTGGGCAGGGAGGACAGCACTGAAGACCTGCTAGTGCCCAAATGACGGCCGCTGAAAGCCCGTCTTCTCCAGTGTGCCCAAGGCCCCACACAGCAGGCTCTGCACAGGGCTCCTTATTAGTGAGATGGAAACAGTCAGGCCAGTGGGCACAGAAACGTGTCCAGGCCACTTGTCTCTCCCCCCTGCCCTCGCCGGCCCTGCCACGTCTCTGAACCTCTGAACACTGAGCTCTTTCCTTTCTCAGTGGACCCAAACAGACTGCTCCGTCTGCCTGGAAGATTCTTCTAACTCAGCTGGAAAATGGCTGGTCAATAGCACAGGTATTTTTCTGCATTCACTTGGCACTTGCTACCCATGCAGTTGTTAAAGTGAGTAGGAACCACACCCGAGGCCTCTTGTGAATGAACGGAGCTCCTTCCAGTGTCCGGTTTTGGGGATCCACAGGTGTGAGCAGGCTGTGGTCAGGCTGGTTCCGGCGCCGTCCCACAGACCATCACCACCTGCTGTCCATCCATCCACCAGGGATGGCCGGGGCAGTGGCAGGGCCCAGGGCCAGAGGACAAACAAGGCCCAGATAGGGAGTGTCTGAACACTGATCACTCGTAAATCAGCTGCTAGATACAATATGATTATATACAATATGCTTATCCTCCTCCCTTGGAAAATACACTTTCAAATGGCAAAAATCACAAAGTGAGGGCAATGCATGATTTGCGTGGAAGTCATCAACATATCAAAGAGGACCAGGTTTACGAATTCTTATGCATGTTTGGCGTTCTGCTGAGCAGGTGGCAATGTTAGGATTCGTAAAAAAATAAAGACAGAATAATTCATAAATTACATATTTATCCTATTAATTATTTTGCCTTTAAAAATAAAATTACTCCATACCTTGTAATAATCAAGATTTTCACGTAATCTGTATTTTGACAAGTGGTTCAAAAATTAAAAAATGATCCTTCTCAAAGCATACATTTAAATAAATCTTCATCAAAAAATTGATAGTAAATCAAATGTAAGAAATAAGAACAACTAAATTATTTGTGGTTTTCCAAAATAATATTTTTCTTCTAGTATATTCAAAGCTTTCTATTAAAATTTAAAAACACAACTCACACTATAATGTATCCATAAAATGTTTTCAATGAAAAGTTTAGTTATGAAGCTGAATTATTATAATTCTAAAAATTTAATCTCTGAGATGAAAGAGGTCATAGAAATGGCAGCAGAAGGGGACGGGGTAGTGGGAAGGGCATACATTTAGGGGATCCAGGTGTGAACTCAGGGCAAGAGCGCTGCACCAGGGCCCAGCGGGGACAAGGCTGCTGGCATCCCTGCTGAACCTCATTCTCCCACTGCACACATCACCCACCGAGGGCTGTTGGGAAGGGTAATGCCAAGGTGAGACACAGGGCCTGGGGGAAGGCTGGGCTGCTGGGTTCAAGGGCAGTAGAGGTTAGGAACCCATGCCGTGGGCTGAGAGGTAAGAAGGTCAGTTCAGATGGGAGGAGGCCAAACAACATGTGTGCCCACAGGGAAAAGGGTGAAGGGGAGAAGGACACGGGGTGGAATTCTTTTTCTTCCTTGATGCTGATAGGTTCAATTTCAACTTCCTTTTACTCTGGGCGCAGCACAGTTAGACTCGAAGTTACCTTTTGCCACAGTCCGGGCTCCTGAGTTCTGAGCTCAAATCTCAGACAATTTTCAAGCTGCACTAGTGGCTGACAAGCATTGTATCAGCAGTTCACCAGGGGCATGGCGATGCAAAAGGTGGCATTCAGCCCAATTCTGTTTCCTTCTAGCTTCACACCCAGGAAGCCAGATTCTGCTCACATCATATAAGAAATAAAATATATTAGCATGCATGCGTGCAGACATGTTGTATGTTTGATTTTTTAAAAGTAGAGTTTACTTGTTAGAGAAGTTATGGGTTTATAGAAAAATGGACAGCAAATGCCACGTTCCCACATAATCTGCCACTCAGCTTTTCCTGCTATTCATATTTTGAGTTAGTGTGGTGTCCTTGCTACAGTTGCTAAACCGGTGTTGACACATTATGACGAAGTATACTCACGGTTTATATTAGAGCTCACTCTCTGTGTTGTACTGTCTATGGATTTTGATTTTGTGCAGCACAGAAACAGATCCCTTTCTGATTTCAGAGGTATACGTTAAACATCTGAGACAGATAAAAAGTACAATAAAAGTACAATGCAGAAAAACATATCTAAATATTCAAACACAAACTTATAAGTCTACGTAAAGTACAGAGTTGCTAAACACAGGACACCCACTTACATTTAAATTTTAGATCAGCAACGGGCACTTTGGTAGGATGAGCATGTCCTGTGCAACGTTCAGGACATACTCTAATACGTTCCGTTGGTTATCTGAAATTCCAATTTGACTGGGCCTTCTTAATTTTCAGTTACCAAAATCTGGAAAACTTAGTTTTGAAATATATTGAAAAATACTTGCCAAGTGTGACTTCTCTTTATGCATAGCTTGGAGTTCTGGGGTGTGGTAGGAAGAAGCTGGGTCAGAATTCACGTGACTAAACTCACACATCTGAACATTTTTCATGGCCGGAGATGAAGGGTGCAGCTGCATCGTGCTCCGGGAGGACGTGCTGGTGGTGGGTGCGAAGCAGTATGGTGAGGGGAAGCTTTAAAGCAGAAGGCTGGTGTTCAGGATTCCTAAAGGGCAGAGGGTGAGCAGCAGCAGGGAAGGGAAGAGACAGGTCAAAAGGGTCAAATGAGGCCAGTGGCTTTTGTGTAGACAGTCAGGTGTACGTGGCCTTCGCTCATGCAGAACCAACCACCCTATGGTTAGATACAAAGTAGACAAACCTTGTCTTTCAGCACAGGAATCCCAATATTCATTTCAACATTTCCCTCTTTGCTTGGTGGGCTCTCCAAGGCTTCCAGTTCTTTTCTTTTCTCTATGAAAGCCTGTTCTTGAATCAAGTACTCATGCAATGAATAAGTAAGTGCTACCACTTAAAAGTAATGGTTTTAAGCTAGCATGGATTTACGGACGGTCAGCATGTGTGAGTCACTCACCATCCCCATTCAGTGCCTTCATGTCTCAAGCAAGGGTCCTTAAGCCTGGCTGGACATTAAGGCCGCCTGGAAGCAGGTTGGATCTCAGTGGGTTTGCAGTACCAGGCATTGGTACTTTTTTTTTTTTTCTAAAAGGTGATGAACCGAGGCTGTAAAAATAAGAAAATCCTCATGGTGAAAACTCAGGCAGCATTCAAGCAGCCAGGCGAAATGAGGTGGCAGTAGGCTCCCCGCCGCATCCTTGGAATTGCTCTTCCTGTGGCCAGACGCAGATCTGGAACACCATGCCTCGCTCACTGTTGAATGGACTCCAGACTTTTCCAGATAACCCTGAGGTCTCCTTGACTCACAAGGATGCAGGATTCATAGTCCAGGGAGGATTTGCTAGGTTTGCACTGACCTGAAATAAACACAGCGTGTATTTGTCGACTCACTCCACGCAGCCTCTCCAACTGAGAGGATGTTGTTAAGTGTTCACAAACAGAAAAGGAGAGAAGCAATTTGATGCAATAAAGGCAGCAGCTCTGGGCGTGAGGGTTTCACTGAGATTTGGACTTGGAGCCACCTGCGCAAGCTACATTCAAATGTGTACATGTTGGATACATTGCTTGTGGCTAATGGATTAGAATGTCCTTAAAATGCCCACTTTCAACCCAAGTGTAACTGGAATCACGAGATGGTAACTTCAGCTTCCGATAATTTCTTGTTGGATTTCATTGTGTTTCTGTACAATCCAACCAATGAATATATGCACTGGAAATGAGACTATCAAAACCCACTGCAAACCTACAGGGAAGACAGCCTCTTTTTTTTTTTTTTTTTTTTTTGAGACAGAACAACTCCCTTTGCCTATTGTGCGGTGCAGGGCAACACCTGATCCGGCGCCCTATCCGCTCACTTCCTGACCGTGGCTACCCTGTATGTCTGCAGAAGACACCAGATTTGTTCAAAGAGGTTGCAACTTTCAAGCAGAAACTTAGGGCTTCAGGTAGACAGATTTTACAAGAAAAAGAAGAAACGGCAGATATCATAAGCCGCAATCTCATACGAGAAGGAGCATTCTCTTTTCGGCAGTTTGGATAGGAAAACGCAGTTTAAAAAGTGACGCTCATCTGCCCACTGGCCGCATTTCCCCCTCTTGTCCTGCTTCTCCCTTCCCGGCTGCTGCCCACCCTTGGCATTTACGAGTCCTCAACACCAGCCTCCTGCGTCAAGCCTCCCACCGC